GAGCTCCCAGGCAGAGGAAGTTCTAGGAGGAGGAGGAGGGAGAGACGCCAAATGACCAGCGCATTTGCTTCCTGAATCATGTCTCTAGACAAAGGAGACACAGAACTGTTATCATTTGTTATCAATTGTTCCTTTGGGACCAAGGGTCAGACCTGAAAATCTGGCTCTGTCACTGCTGCCCACTGGCTGAAGAGACTTCAAGGAAGCCCTTCTCGCTCTCTGCACCCCCAGGCCCAGGCCCTTGGCTAGAAAGAGAAGGAATCTGGAAGGATCTCCCTGAGCCACTTATCAACCCCTGAGTGGCTAAGGTGCCTCTTGGCTTTGGTTGGAAAGAAAGTGCTGGCTGCTTCGGGGTGAGCCTGCTAGCCTCCACTAAGCATAACCCAGCTAGTGTGGACTCTGGACCTAGACCACCTGGGTTCACATCCTCGCCCTGCCACTTGCTAGCTCTGGGTGACCACACAGTTTCACAACCTCGCAAACACCTCAGAGTCCCAAGATACAAACTGGTAATGACCAGTGTCCACCTTACCATGGTAGGGAATGGAAAAGGAAATAGGAAGGAAGCATTTGCAATCATGTCAATTATAGAAGGTAAATCTTTCCATCCCATCTCCATTGTCCTGCCCAGTTCTTGACATTCTCCATAAGGACACATAATATCTGTCACGATTGCCAACACAACACATTCCCATGGGTGGACGGAGCCGTGAAAGAGATCCAACATTTTTATAGTGGAAGACTGTTCTGTGTAGGATACTTATGAAAAGCATCTTACCAGCGTGACAGGACTTATAAGCTGTCTGTGCTCAGAACTACAACACTAAGGAGTGCAGCTGAGACAGGAGTGGGTGGGCGGCACACATTTCCTCCAGGGCCAGCCACAAAAAATCACAGAGGGATGCAAAAGAGAGGCTGTTATTCTAGTCTAGGGGTAACCTTGAAGTGCTGGCTTTTTTTTTAAAATAAATCAAATGCAAACACCAGTATCTAACTCGTACAAGTAGTGAAGCACCTGGATATACCCCACTCCTAAGTTCATGGGCAACAGTGTAGAGAAATACTCTTAGCCATCCCCTACAACCACCCCAACCGGGGCCAAGGTCCAGCAGGCCTCAACACAAACATGGCAGTGGTGGGTAGTGCAGTTCACAGAGAGAACTCCCCTAAAGCCAGCCAGGACAGCTTATCCCCCCTGCCTGTCTAGATTTCTCAGGCCGTACAAAAGGCCTTGACAGGAAGGCTCCTGTTCTCTTTCCAGAAGGTTATGTGTTCAGATAAGAGAGTGCTGGGATTTTGAAGTGATCCAGTGATCCTTCCAACCCCTCTCATGCACACATAGCTTTCCAGCTTTCCAGATGTGACAAAGCCGGGGAAACATGAATTTGACTGTAGCACTGAAAAAACAAACAAATAAAATAGCCCAAGTAGGCAAACAGAGCTCAAGTGCCCACGCTTCCAGCTGAGAGGACATGGTTAGAGTATCAAGGCTCCTGGGACCCACCTTGGCGACCTTCCAAGAGCTATTAGCTTGCATCAACACACTGAGAGAGAAGGTCAGATAAATTAAAAGTTCAAAAGGTAATTTTGAAGAAGGACATCTTTATCCTCAGCACCGGCACAGGGTATGGCTCGTGGTGGCTGCCAAACACTCAATGAACACACCCGCAGCTGGCAGAGAGGTCACATGGTGTTCAGACTTTTGATGTTGAAACAAGATGCCATATAGTATGGGAGAGGACGTAGATTAGAAACTTTAAGAAGGGTTGGGGCGATCTTGACTCAATTTCCAACACATTAAAAAGTACAACCATTTTCCGGTTATTAAGAGTGACTCTATGCCTCAAAGCACTTAGGAACTTTAAAGGCACACTAGTAAAACTTGCGCTGACAAGCACCAAATTTACTTGTGACCCAAACCTTTCAACCCTCCCCCACAAGGTATCCTCCCCCCAAATATAAAATTATTTCTTCTCTTTTTTAAAAATACCTGGATTCTGGAACACACAGATCTTCTGCCAGCCAAAGCTATCTGTCAACCCTTCATCTGCCACAGGGACCCTTTTTCAAACTTTGGCATACACCACAACAAACCCCCGGGGGCCAAAGCTCCTGACAGTATATGCTTTCCTGAGATTCACTATAACGATATCAACACAGAAATCCCCGCTGCCACCACCATCACCACCCCACCTTTCTAGAGCCAAGAGGCCAAGACACACAAGAAGGAAGGGATAAAATGAGTCCCCGCTACTTTTTATATCTCTTGGGGAGGAACAGGGCAACTGGCTGTCTGGATGACCACTGTGTGAGAAAGGACAGGAACTTCCCAATGCAAGTCTTATGATGACTGCTCTATGCGGTTTTCTGGACATCTCTGCAGGGTGCCCCGGTCCCTGTGTGTCTCCTGCCAAAATCAATCTGAGGGTGACCCTGCAATGACTTAGATCCCAAGCCACATGGAGCATTTGGAAAGGTAGTGTTAAAAGGATTGTGAGGAGCCACACTTCTCAGGGAAGGAGCCAAAGGCCTCCCCCACCCCCCAGGCTAGAATCATAGGGAGACTCTGGCATTTCCACGCTTTGGAGGCCAGCTGGGCAGAAGGCTGCTTTAGTTATTTTTAAACTGAGAAAACTGAATGGGAAGGGAGAAAATTCGAATTCCTATGATCTCCTGAGGTCCTTTCCAGCTCCAAGATGCTACCCAAGAACATCACATATGCACATACTTCTTTATAAAAACGTATATATACATACATATGTGTGAACATGTATATGTACTGTATCCACACTTCAAACACAAAGCACTTGAAATGGGCACTGCTGAGATCAAAAAGCCCATGAGCTACTTGGCAGCAGGGCTAGAGCGCACAGATGCCACTGGCAGATCCGGGCAGCGGCCCCCAGCCCTCCTGCCACCCCAGTCCGCCCTAACACCACCCTGCGGCAGCTGCCTGTGTAGATGCAAAGCCCGCAAAGCCGCAAACCAAACCAGGACACTGCAGACTCCCTTCGCCTAGTGACTCTCGCCCTAAGTGATCCAAACCCAGGCAAGCTGGAACAAAGGTGGAGCCTAGACCTTAAGTTCTGGCACCCAGCTCTGCTAGAGTCAGGTGTAGGCCCCGGAGCTCCCTTCTCCTTTCCTCCCAGCTCCTAAGAGGGGTAAAAAGGGGTCCTTCCCTCTGTCACTTTGTTTTTTCAGGACGCCTCCACTGGACTCTGGCTGCCCAGGCAGCAAGTTGGTTAACTGAAGAAAACTAGAAAGGCCTCTAGGAAACGGCGCTGCGCCCTAACCCTAACAGTGCCAAACAAAGTTAAGGCTGCTAATCTCAGCCCTGAACAATAACATAACAACAAAAAGGATCTGCAGGAAAGAAGAAGTGGGGAGGCGGTAGGGGGGGGGGGGTGAAAATTCATTTATCAAGACGGATCTGTGATGGGTTTGCCTGACATGAAAAACTGCCTTTTGATTTCTTGAATCAAAATCGAGGTGGTTCTGACCCTGCGTCAAGGCTCAAGGTGCGGGGGACACAGCTGGCGGCGGCTGGGGGTGGAGGGGGGATGCTCTCAGAGTCAAAACCAACCAAGCCCCTCGGGGCCTGACAACGGACACGGGGAGGTGGGGGGAGGCCCCAACTCCCCACTGGCCTCTCTTTAGGACGAGATCCTTGGGGCTCCTACCCGAGGGTGCGCGTCTCTAGGTGCGCCGCTGTCCTCCCACCCGAAGCCCACACAAGCCTCGGCTTTCCCTGCGCAACTTCGCAGCGCCCTCGGCACCCAGCCTCCCCTGGCCGGGCCGGAGCCGGGTGCTAACGCGTCTGGATGACCTGTCTGGCCCCGGGCCTGGGCCTCGACCCCGCAGCCCGCGGAAGCGCCGGCCCCGCCCGGTTCCCCCGACTCCTCGCCGGTGCCCCCGCCGCGGCCGGACGGCGCGCGCCCCTCCGCCCCCGCCCGCGCCCGCGCGGGAGCTGCGAATCCCGGCTTTGTGTGCGCCAGCGGGTGTGCGCCGCGTCCCCGGCACGTCCCCGGCACGCCCCCCGCCGCCCCCCGCGCCCCCAGCGCCCCGCGCCCGCCGCCCCGCCAGGCCTCCCACCCGGCCTCGGACCCGGCCGCGGGGGCGGTGGGCGCCACGGGCACGCGGGGCAAGAGGGCGGGCGCCGCGCCCCCCCGCCCCCGCGCCCCCCCGCGCCTCCCCGCCCCCCCGTCACCCCCGCGCCCCGCCGCCCCAACTCCCCTCCCGGAGCGGCCGCGAGCGGCCGGGAGGGGGTCGGGGGGGGCCCGCAGGGGGCGGGGGCCGGGCGGCTCGCGACTCGGCAGGAAGTTCCCCGGGCCGCACTGAGCATGCTCTCGGGGAGAGCGCGCGGGTGTGGGCTCCGCTCCCCGCAGCCTCCCCGGCCGGCAGCCCCCGGGGGCGGCCCCGGCGCGATCGCGGGCCCACGGCCCTGCCCGGGGGCGGGGGGCCGCCCCGAGCCTCCCTGGCCCGCAGCCCCGAGCGTCGCCCGCCGCATCCCTCCTCTTCTGGGCCCGGGGCCAGCCTCCCGTCCTCTCCCTCCCACCGGCCCGCGGCCGAGCCCGCCCTGCGCGCCCGGGGCGCGGGGACCCCAGCCCGGCCCGCCCGCAGCGCCACCCCGCCGGGCTCCTCCGCCGCCCGAGCGCCCCTCTCCGCCCGCGGCTCGGCCCCCGTCCGCGCCACCCAAGCCTCCTCCGGACGCTCCGCTGAAAAGCCCACAAGCCCCCCCCCCGGGCCTCGGGGGCCTGCGGTCCTCCCCGGGGACGGCTGCCCCGGGCAGGTGGGCGTCAGGGCGCGCCCCCCGCGGCGCCCCGGGGTCCCGCAGGGCGGCCGCAGCCCGGGCACCCACGCAGGCGGCAGCCCCCGCCGCGCCGCCCCCGGTGCAGGCGCCCCCGCCCGCCCGCCCGCGCCGCCCCCCGCGGTCCCCTCCGCGCGCATCTCCCCGCGGGGATGGCGAGCCCGACGCGGTCGCCCCGACCCGCGGCTCTCACCTCCTGGCTGCACAGCGGCCGCCGCAGCAGGAGCGCCCGCCGGCCGCCGACCCCGCGGGGCCCGGGACGCGGCGGGGCACGGGCTCGGGCGCCCCGAGCCTGCGGCGCGGCTACCTGGGCTGGATCGCGCCCCGGGGCCGCCGCCGCCGCCGCCGCCGCGGGAGCCGCGGGAGCCGCGGGAGCCGCAGGGCCGCCGCCGAGCCGGCCGCGGCAGGGACGGTCTGCAAACTCCCAGCCCTGGCGGGGCCGCGCACGTCCGCCCGCTCCCAGCCCGGACGCGGCGGCGACGCTCCTCGGGCTCAGCCTGGCCGCGCGGTGGGCGGCGCGGCGGGGGGGGGGGGGCTGTCCGCGTCCGCAGTTTCTTCCAACGCCCCCCAGCCCGACGTCCCCAACTTCTCCCCGCTTCTGGGCTCGCGGCTCTGGGAGGCAGGGATTCTGGCCGGGGACGCTCGGCAAACTCCCCGCCCTCCCAGGCGCAGCGCTCAGCCAATTCGGAACGCCCCAGCTTCAGGGGCCGTCTGCAAAGTCTCAACCCCGCCGGAGAGGGCTGCCAGCAACCTTTCAATTCCGCAGCCCGGAGGGAGACGGGAGCAAGGGAGGCAGGTTAATCGCGGCCATAAATAATATTCCAGCTAGGTCGGGGGGGGGGGGGGGGAGGCGTGTGCCAATGCTCATACGACGAAGCATCCTCCAGAGGGGTGCAGTCCAGGGGCCTCGAAGCACGGGGGGGTCTTTCTAGCCATGAGGCCCAGTGAGGCAAGACTGGGGTTTCACCCATTTACAGAGGCGCGCATCTTTAATAAGTGCAGAGTTTCAGTTTCCTTCTTCAGAGAATGGATACATAGCCATGTGAGTCCGCCACTTAATTTTCGTGACCTTGGATGAGTCACTTAACCATATGAATTCAGCCTCTTTACGTTTGAGCCTTATGCATAATGCTGCCTCAGGAGCCTCTTCTGAAGATGAAAAAAAAAAAAAGCACATGTAAAGTACTTTAGGTATTCTTGGCATATAGTAGGCGCTCAATAAGTGAATTCCATTTCTCTTCCTTTTTCTTCCTCCCACCGCAGGCTTCTGTGAACACCCTGAATGAGCTAGCTGAACATTGTACTATTATAAATTCAAAGTGAAATAAAACGCATCCCATGCCCTGAAGGTACCACAAACATTGACATGTTAAATCCAACCAAGGCCCGGGAGAGACAGTGGTACAGGCACATCACTGAGCACTACAGATCATTAAGTAGGATCTGGAATGGAGGGGGAGTGGCCTGCTAGATCACCTAAGAGTCAGGATGACAAGGTTCCTCACCCTAACACCTTTTAGGCCCTGTAACCAGTCCTATATCAGATTCCTGTATGAGAATTATGCTCAACTTCCCCTTCCCTTCCTTGTGGGATTTCTCCACCCCTATTTTACTCTCCTCCCTGGAGTCTTCTATCTTGAATTTAGATCACCCCACTCTGCAGCCCATGCTCCTCAACAGAGGTGCTTAAAAACTGAGGCTCATGGAATTTTTAGACCCTAGAATTGACTTAGCTCAACTTTCTCATTTTGTAAGTGAGCTCTCAGGGCCATCCAAGGGTTAGGGAGGTCTCCTGACTCCAGGATCTTAGTAGAACACACCTCATGGCCTCTCCTACATTGGGCTAGTTCTTGGCTCAAGGCGCATGAAGTCAGTCCTACCTTTAACTTTAAGCTCAAGGAAATGGCTCTAACATTTTTTTGACCAGATGAGCCCCCAAATTTTCAGCCACTTGGATCCTCAGCTGTCAGAAACTGTCCAGGTGATATTCGAGAGCCCCAAGGAAATCAGCATGGGCAGGATTATTCCTCTTAATAAGACCTTTCGGTGAAAACCCAGGGATGTTGGGAGGCACGCATTTTCCTCAGTCCCTTGTCAGAAAATAAGGTCTCACGGTTCTTAGGGCACCGGGAGGGAAATAGAAGAATAGTGACATCTGGCGGCCAAGACTTACTGTGCTTTGATTATGGATGGTACAGATCCTAACCCTAATAGATTTGCTTCAAAGCCAAGTTCCAGCGGGTGGTTAATAACTGTACCACCTGGTGCCTAGAGATTTCTGAAAGACATCGATCATTTAAACATCGCAGACCCACTGCTACAGAGAACATTACATATGGTTATTACTTCAGGATCTTGTTTAAAAATGTATGTGTATATAGAGAAAGTGTGTACATACATTCATACGTACAAACCTTATGTGTATTTATGTGATACAAATATATTTATATTATACATATTCTAGTTATTTGTATAAGTAATATACTTAAAATGCCTTTGAAGGAAATTAATACTATCTCAGTTGTTTTTCTTACAGAGTTAGGATTATAATTTACATTAATAATTACTAAAGAACATTGCTTTTAGACATAAAGATGTTTACTAGGATGGAGTTGTATATTTCATCATGCCCTCTCAAGAGAGAATTCATTACAAACTTAGAGAAGAAGAAAATAACACTGTAGGACTTCAATAGTGAAAACCTTGGCTGTGGATGGTCAAGGTCATGCTTACTTGATGATTTTTAGCATTTCCACTACTTGTGAACAAGGGATGTTAGGTTAAAAAAGGGAAGATATTTGGATCACTTCACAACAATGCAACAGTGTCTTTTGGTATTGCTAAGTCTGGTCTACTTCTTCCCATATATTTGTTCCATGTAACATACTTCAGATAATCCCCCAATTACAAATGTAGAAAATACAACTCTGTCCACCCAAGCAAGTCCATTGTTTCTCAGCATCTCTTACTAAGCTCTATGTGAATTATACTGATTCTCGTAACAACCCATGGAACAGATTTACCATACTCATTTTACAGAAAAAGGCACCAAGTCTTGGAAAAGTTAAGTAATATGCCCATCAATAGGCACTATAGGTTAGGGCCAGAGTCAGGATTGAATCCAGTTTTCCCACCTCCAGAGCCCACAGTCTTTCCATTACACTATGCTGCCCATCCGCAGGAAACCAGGAAGACATGAAGATCAGGGCAGAAATCACTCTGAAAAGTACACTAAAAACTAAAAGAGATATTTAAGGTATTTAAATTAAAGATATTAAGGTATTTAAAAATAAGTTAAGGTACTTAAATACAAACCACATTTCTTAACCTATTCAAATTGTATGAAAATTACAAGCAACAAAGTAACAATTGTGTGTGTACACTTTATAAGGCTGGGACCATGTGATTCAGTCTTGAAGCATGTTTCTGTAAAATACAAAATATGTATATATTACATACTATATATATAGTACATATATAGTTATATATATTATATATAGTATGTATATAGTTATATATAGTTATATATAGTATATATATAGTTTTATATTGTATATAGTTATATATAGTATATATAGTTATATATATTATATATAGTTATATATAGTGTATATATATAGTATATATAGTATAGTTATTTTATATATATATTTATATTTATACACACACACACACACACACACACACATACATACATACAGTTTTCCCTGCTGGGGACCTGAACTATCTTTAACAGCTTGGGAACTATGCAATGTAATTCCAGTGGAAGGTAAAGCCTCCAACAGTAAAGGTGGTTGATCAAATTTTTAGGATGGTACTGCTGGCAGTGGTACCAGTGACTGACTGTGATATTGATGCTAGAAGGTAATATATCTACATGGTGATAGAGGCATGTGTCTTCACCTTACCAGGTTTATGACATGATTGGAGGAGTTGTTTCTAAATGCATGTGCCTCTGAGCCTGACTCTAAGATTTCCTTTAGATAAATTACTTTTCTCCTTAAATCAAGTACAGTAGCTTTCTGTTGCTTATAGTTAAGTGGCCTAACACCGACATTAGAACCAACAGATGCAAACCATCAGGAAAACGGAAGGATGGGCTATCTGGCTTGAGTAGGGACTGAGGGTTGAAAATCCAATTGGTTCAAAGAGTTTTCATGCAGGCAGCTTATGGCATAGAGCAGCAAAGCAGTTTAATTTAATTAACACTGTGCTCACCTAGAACAAAGTACCCACTGAAGTCAATTTTGGGGAAACCAAATAGCAGCTGAGGAATATAAGGACCGCAGGAGTAAGGTGGTTTTGCTTGTCTTGTTTTATGGAGTTGGACAGCTTAAAGAAAGAGAACGATGAGCTGTAACTCCTAGCTTCTCGACGCTAATTCCTAACTTCTCAGCTCAAAGGACATATACCAGGGATTTTTCTATGATTTTTAAGACAAACAAACAAACAAAAAACAACAATAACAACATTTCTTTTTTTCTAGCAGCTAGAGGTCAAGATAGATAAAAAACTAAAACCAAAATTTGATCTTGTGGGTCACTGACTTATAAAATCACTTAAATGCACAGCCTAAATAATCTCCTACTTGAAAGCAAGGACATTGATTAGAACAAAGGAAGACTCTGAGGACTAGATGGAGAGACATGAGAAAATCCAGATGACTGAATGTACCCCATGGCCCTCAAGCTCTGTTCTGGCTTCCCTTACCAAATGGAGGCCATGATGAGGTAGTTTCCTTCCACACCTCAAGAAACCAATGGAAAAGATAAAGCTCAAAAAAGACTGAACCATCACACAGAGGTTTGACATTTGGCTATCTTGCAAAAGCAAAAATCTGGGGACTACATGTGGTGAGAGATCCTAAGAATTCTAGACTAAAGAAGGAAGAACACAGCTTTAGATTGAGCTGAATCTATTGATATGGAAGCAGTTATCAAAATTCCAGACTCCATCTGTTCACATGAGCAGTTCTGGGTAGTATTAATCATTTCTCACTTGGTGCTAAAATCCAGACTCACGGGGACCAGCATAAATAATGTAGCAGCAGGCACTCATGTAGCTCTTACCAGGTGCCAAGCATTGTTTAAAATACTATTATATATCAAGTTACTTAATCCTAAGAATAAGCCTGAGATATGTATTATCATCCCTACTTATAAAAGTAGAAACTGAGGCATTTGAAAGTTCAACAATTTCCCACATGCAGCTTCTAAGTGGGAAAGCTGAGATTCAAATCAGTTAGGTTGGTTCTAGAATCTGGGCTTTTAAGATCTATGCACAAGTTCTTCTTATTACAAAGGGGTGATGCTGGAAATACCTTGATATA